GAGATATTCGACTTTATTTTTACTGGCTGCAGTTTTGGGAACTCCTTTGTGTTCCCAGTGAATGTTTAAACAGTGAAATGTTACTCCTGAGGCCAACAATCACCCCTATTACTTTTTCATGAAAAAAATTACACATTGCATGAGTATTAACCGACCCATTCTACTGTGTTTTCAAACACACATAATACATATATTTATAAATAATGTATACTAATATATATATACTAATTTGGCTTCTCTAAACCACAACCCATACTATATATACTACTCATACCTAACTATACTGGTTTTAAACACCATATATATACAACATATAATAAACAAATAAAAAATAAACCATTATTTTCCCACCAGCTAGGTCCAGTCGGAAGGTTTAGAGAATAAATCAACAACAGAACACTGAGAAGGTGGGAAAGCTGCAATTTACCCTAATCGCAAAACTCACCACCACATACTTACGATATAGTGCAAGTAGTGCTAAGCAAGTGCCAGTCACAGCTAAGTGGTGAGCCAGCAAAGTAACCAGGATACAGGACTGGATTGGGTCCGTGCTTCAGATGCGCTAACACATTAAACTAACACCGATTGAACTGTATGAAGCAAAGTCGTGCTGACCTCCAGATTAACATCCTCCCCAAATCGTCCCGCCCCATAGTGCGACAGCTCTCAACAAAGATGGGACGTAAACGGAATGGCCACTCGTTAGCCAACCTTCCATAAAACAGCTCCAAAAAAAAACGTGACAGATAACAGTGACAGCTTTAGTAACCCATGAGCAAAAAGTCTCAAAAAAAAAAAAGATTACCTACTCGCGGCTAAGTGTTTACATATCATCTTGTAACAACACGACCCTGCACAGACCTCTGTTACCTACACCGGTAAAGCTGCAAGTTGTTGTTACAGTATATACTTTAACTATGAGTTTCAGTTAAGCAGTAATAAAAATGAGAAAAAAATATACACTACTCCACTAACAATATTACGATATCTGGAGCTTCAGAGCTAAACAGACATACAAAAAGAATAGCCATCAATGCTCCATAATTACCAGTTTGTTTAAAGCAAACCTATGAAAAGTCAGTAACCCATGAAGTGTGGTGATGCTGAATGGACTGCTCCACCCTCCAGAGAAGAATGATCCACTGAAAAATGAAATTACAGCAACTGTGGGGTTTTGGCACAAATGAAATCAGAGCGCAATGAGTTTTAACAGGTGGGTGAGGTGACCCCTGAACATAAATGATGAGAGTATTCAAAGCGAAAGCTTGGTGGGGTGGGAGTAGTGAACGCCTACCTGCTGTGGTTGTTGTGTGATATTCCTAGAGGCTTTTGAAGCAGAGCCTCGCATTGCGCTCGGCTGGTGCGTGGGTTGGCCCGTGCCCGCTGTAACTCCGTCTTTGCCCTAGTTTCTGGCAGGCGGGAAACAGGTGAAGGCCACAGTGCTAGCGTTTATTGTCCATCCAGTAAAACCCGTCTGAGGCCGACTCGGATCCTATCGACTGCAGCAAAGGCACAACAACACACAAAACCTGACAGTGGGTGAGGAGGTGAAGTGGAGACAGAAACAACAAGAAAATAAGCTACAAAGAGACCGAAGTCAAAGTAAAATGACAAAATAAAAATGAACTGAAGAACAACACAAGCAGTGACGCTAAATGGAGGTAATATTACAAGGTTAACACTCTTCCAACCCGCGCCTATGCCAGCTATGCATTTTCCAACATATACATAACTAAATTAATGATGTATATGATATATATAGTATATTTTAACTCAATTTCCAGTGTTTCCAGGACACGTGGGAACCTTGATATGGGCACGCACTGGAGGGATTTTATTGCTTTATTTGACTACATTTAACATCAACACTGACTTTTCTTAAAAAACACAGGCAGCAGCAGGGAAAGGGCGTTGGAGGGAAGGCGAGTCAGTAGTTAAAGGGGAACTTGGCAACTCTAGCCATTTCTTCGCGGTTTTCATTTTTGCATCGCATGTTTTCGCTCAGCGAGCTCCCCCTACAGCTCTGGGACGTTTATTTTCACAACACGTCGGTAAAAAAAATCATTGGCGGCACCCCCATCCCTCTTCTCTACCGCTGGCCTGATGGTGCCTTTATTTTTCGCCGGGGCAACTCTTTCGGTGTGGAGCAATATCCTACGAGGTGGTATACCATGCCTATACACTAACCCGTTATGAACGGGCGCGCCGTGTGCGTTTATGTGGAATTGTTGCCGGTAAAGCCGTCGGTGTTTTCTCGCCTCGGTTTCTCGCTTCATCGCGCTTACTTCCCTATTTCCAATTACGTGCTGGCAAAGGTTGGTTTTCCGGCCTGGGGTCGCCTGAGGGGGGGTGGGGGGTCACCATTTCACCAGAACAGGCCATTTAACATCCAACAATGGATTTCTAACGGGTTATTAAGCTGAAGTTGCCATGTTCCCCTTTAACACTAATTAAGCATAGTCCACTCATTCATCGTTTACCAGACTTGGATTTCCTTAATGAATAATAAAGTGCTACTGCGTTTTTTTGTTATTTATCTCCACTTTATCAATATTTATCAAATTAAAGCAATATCCAATTAAAACGTCCTTATACCACCTCCATAACTATTAGAAAAGCAGATTTGGCAATTCTTGTTAACCCTTATCCGTGTTTTGTTTAAACATATTGGCCCTTTCTTCATTATGACCTCCATCAGTTCACTGAATGTAGCTGAATGACGGCTTGAATGGTCACTGATGTGATGACAGAAAGAAAACACACAGGGAGATAACACGTAAGCGCTGGTACGTTACCATGCTAAGTACGTCATGGAGATTATGAAGACGAGCAGAACAAATGCTCCCGCTGCTACTCCGTACACCCAGGTCTTCAGCTTCCCATCTGCACAGAGAATCACACACGCAGCCTTACATTACATACTATATGACATTTCACTTCCCTGTCTGAAGCTGAAGGGGGCAGTAGAGTTATACACATAACGCAGTGTGGAATTCAATTCATTTTGGTACACACTCTCTCTGTAATAAAAATGTCATTTGGATTGGAAAAAATAAGTCCAAACTTCCGCTGTACCGCTTGCATGCTGTAATATTAATACATAAACAGTATGCAATTCACGTACGTAGGTTTTGGACATGACAAAAAATCTCACAAATATAATAATAATCATATGAAGTGGTCATAAATCAGACCAAACCTGATCAGGGTATCTGGAAATCTTCCCAATTACATTCAAGCCACCAAGTTATCAAGATAAGTTTTTGTCATATTTACTGAAATCT